AGACACCCGGCTTCGGGTGCGGCGTGGAGCCCCAGGTCTGAGGGCTCCCCTCAGGAGGGGTGCCGGGCGGGCAGGGGACAGCCGGTGCCAGCTTCGCTTGCCGAGCACGGGTCCTGCTGCCGCTAGTTTGGAGTTACCGGCGGAGACACGCGGAAGACGTCGCGCCGGTGCGCATGTGTGCTGAGAAGCTGTGCGCTACTCATCTAGCGTTGTTTTCCAGTTCATGAAACATCCCATGCTCACGATTCAGAAAACATAAAAATTTTGAGAAATGAACACATTGTAGTGTGTCTGTAACAGGTTTCTATGCAAAAAATAGTGACGAAACAGAGATGGTGTTTGTGACACCGTGTCCCATGGGCTTCCTAAACCGCCGAACCGGTCAGAATGACTGATGGCTGCGTGACCCGTCACACGTGTGCTCTGACGAGCTCAGCCGCCGGCCTATTTATCCGACCCGGGCGCTTTCCCATTTTTTAATCGTAAATGTTCAAAGCACTTCCCACTGTACAATTCCTTAAATAATGTTCTGCAGAAGCGAAAGGATTTTGGTTACACTTTTACAAAACGTCCCAGGGTTCAGATCCCCACGGGTCCCCGCGTCCCAGACCCTCACTCACTTTAAAAGCTCCAGCTGCTCTTTGGGCATCCAAAGTCGAGCCTGAAAACAAACGACAAAGAAGTAGAGCTGTTGTTCTTTCTCGTCGCAGGGGAAGACCTCGCACGTCCTGACAGACGCACGTGCCGGGGACGCACGCCGCCCTCGAGATGCCCGCACCTTCCAGCCTCACGCGTCACCGATGTTTGGAGATGAGGTGGCGTCCACATCTGTGTGGTGACAGACGCGTGACTGTGCTGGAGCTGAGGCTGGGTGTGAGAAGCTGCTTCTCAGGAGTGGGGACGCTCCCTGCCCTGCGAGGACACACGCAGGGGGCCGGGGCGCACAGCGAGCGAGCTGCGGGCCACCTGGCAGTGGGAGGTGGCAGGCGGGGGACGGCGCAGAGGGGGGCGCACGCTCGGGCGTCGGGGGCCAGAGGCGCCCTGCCCGCCCCACACGCAGTGAGGGGCCTCCCTGTCTGTGTGAGGGACTGGGCTGGGTTCCATCAGCCGCAGCACCTGGGCGATGGCACACGAGGACCTGCCCTGACCAGGTGTCTGGCCAGGAGCACCCTGTCTGAGCAGAGGTGCCCCCTGGCTGTCAGAGACGCACGCTGGGCCTCGGGGGAGTAGGGGGTATGCCCACGGGATCATGGGGCAGCTGCCGGCCTCTTCCCCTGTCTGGCCACTCCAGTGTCCTGAGCCCCGTGTGCCACGTGGTTTCCAGGCTGTCCCACAAATGCCCGCAGACCCCGCAGCCCGGACGGCAGACAGGAGGCCGGAGGGCCCACTCCCTCCACAGCTGCGGGCGCGTCTGTCTTGCCTCTTCCAGCTGCTGGTGGCTCCTGTCCCTGGGGTGCGTGGTGGCGTCACTACAGCCGCGGCCGCTGTTGTCACACGGCCTCTTCTCGTCTGGTGTCTCTCAGAGGGACACTCATCGCTGGACTTAGGGCCCGTCTGGGAAATCCAGGACGATTTTACCTCCAGATCCTGTATTCCATCCTCAGCTTTTTTCCAGGTAGAGTCAGGTTCTGGGGGGCAGTCTGTGGACACAGCCCGGATAGAGCGGCGCCCCCAACACCTTCCTCGCCGGAGGGTCACCTTTCAGCCCACCGTGGTGACCGTCGAGATGGTATCCGGGAAGCGATGCTCCGCCTCTGCTGATAAGTCTGCTTTTCTGTGTCGAAGACCCGCCTGCCGGCAGTTTGCTGCCCCACATCGTGCCGCCCAGGACGACCCCTCCCAGGGCTGCGCGCGCTGTGACAGGGGCGTGGGAATGGAGGTGGCTGGGAGATGTCACCCTGCCACCTACCTGCTGAGCGACTGCATTCCTGTCGGCTC